TGCCATGTGGGTGCTGGGATTTGAACCCAGGTCTTCTGCAAGAACAACCAGTGTTCTTAACCTCTGAGCCATCTCTCCAGGCCCCCTTTAATTTTAATTTTAATTTGTGTGTGTGTGTGTGTGTGCGTGTGTGTGTCTGTGTGAATGTATGCTACATGCTTGTGGGTGCCCACAAAGGCCAGAAGAGGGTGTCTGATTCTCTGGAGCTGGTGTTAACAGGTGGTTGTGAGCTGCCTGATATGGATGATGGTTTTGCCAAACACAGGATGAGATTAAGAGAACTATAAACAAGAATATAGTGACAGTGGAATCTAAGATACTGTAGCAGTTTCCTGCCAGGTAAGACAATCCATCTTGGAGAGAAGCTCTTAAGATGCAGGATGTTGAAAGGGAAGTAAACAATAGGATGCTTTAAAGGGAGATGAAACATTCCACCCTTCTGGGAAGCTCTGGAAACAAACCACTCAATAGTCTCAGGAAGTCCCTAAAACTGACCAGGATTACTAGGGCCCTCCTTCTCAAGCATATATAAACCCCAAGGACTATGGAGAGACACTCTAGCTGAGCTGCCTGGAAAGGATATTTTCCAATCTGTTGAGCTGCCTGCAAGTTGTCCAGGGAGCTCCAGGATTCCTGCTGTCAGGAGCTGTCACCATGCTGTGGTGGGCTTTCATGATACAGCTGTCTTTGAGTTATTTCTGCTCCTGTAAGTAACCCTTTACCCATATTCCTGTAAGTAACCCCAATTATTGGTTCACCAAGCTAGACTTTGGTGGTATCCTTACTTAGGTCTGTTGTTGGTTCTTTCTCTGGGGTGGGTAGACTATTGTTCGTGTCTCCCCGGGAACATAGTCACACAGGTGCTTTGTTCTGCTTGTCATTTTCAAATGAAAACCTTACCCCAACATTAAGGCTGAAGGTAAAGCCAGAGCTTTGCTTAGGCATTTGGCTGCCTTGTTTGGGGTACGAGTTGATGGCAGCATCAATCCTGCCCCTACGGCTTTCCATGCTTAACTTACAAAGCTCATGGTAAGTAATTCAGATTCGTTGTAATATTAATTGAGTGGGGGGGGCTGATCACTGGGGAGGCAGAATGGGAAACAGTCTCCATCTCTTGCCTTTGTTAAGGATGAGGCACTGTAGGTCAAGGACAGGCAAGCAGGATTATTTTCAATTACCCACCAAACCTGGGCATTGCGGCCCACATCTGTAATTCTAGCACTTGAGAGACTGAGGCAGGAGAATTGCTATGGATTTGAAGATGGTTTGAGCTACCTAGTGAAACCCTGTGTCAAGCAGAAAAAGGAAATCCATCAAGCTGTGTCTTTATCATCCACAGTTCTTATGATGCTCACCACCATCCTGATAATTATCCTCGTTTTCCATCTTTGAAACAGGCTCAGAAGAGTCAAGCACTGAGTTGAAGATTTGGACTTGGTCTTATCTAGTTTCCTTTCTAGCCACCAGAGAGCCCAGGCTTGGAGACAGAACCCAGTTTGGGGCCTTGACTTCCCTTACTATCAGCTGTGAGTAGAAATGGTACCACACAGGGTGTCCAGTGGGTTAAACATGGTCAGGGTCACCAATGAGAGAGCAAAGCTCTTGCCTCTGACTTGACCTTCCAGTGCCTGTGTCATTTTCCTGTTCATTTTCTCTGTAGTAAGCAGCCAGCCTGAGGCTATCTTGTTTGTGATCAGTTCTCCTGTTTAAAACTCCTGCTTCCTAAGTAAGGGCAAGGACTGGTTTCTTCCTGGCTGTGGCCTCCACATCGCTTATCACAGTTCTCAGCATACAGTAGACACTCAATAAACACTGCATCATGGACTTATCTCTTGTCATTCCCTAGAACAGGGTTTGGCAAGCTATAAGCTCAGGTCAGATCTGTCACCTGCTTTATAAAGTTATGAGTAAGAATGGTTTTTACATTTTTTGTTTATTTGATACATCATCTTTCACTGTAGCCTGAGCTGGCCTGGAATTCACTACGTAGGCCAAACTGCTCTTGAAGCCACAGTAATATGACTATTTCAAGTGCCCAGGTGCTGAAATTCCAAGTGTGAAACCACAGGTCCAGCAGATTCTTAACTGTTTAAAATTTTTTTTTTCTTTTAAATTTATTTTTATGAGTGTTACACATAACATTCATATGTAAGTGCACCTATGTTGTGCAGTGCCAGTGGAGGACAGAAGAGGGTATTGGATCCCCTAGAACTGCAGTGACAGACTGTTAGCTGCCATGTGGGAGGTGGGATTCAAACCCTGGTTTTCTGCAAGAACAGCCAGTGCTCTTAACTGCTGAGCTATCTCTCCAGCCTGGTCTTTATATATTTTTAAGTGGCTGGAAAAACCTAAGTCTTGACCTGAAAATCATGCAAAGTTTAACTTTCCATATATATATAAATTTCTGCAAATATATGGACATAAATAGTTTTATTAGAATACAGCCACACCCATTCATTTACGTATTGTACATGGATGCTTTCACACTACACTGCAGAACCGGTAGCTGCAGCAAATGGTATGAACAGCAGAGTTTGAAGTATCCACACTCTGAGACTAGTTCAGATCCCCTTCCCTTCAGGATGAGCAGAAATTGCCAAGTGCCGAGTTCCTGCTCACAATTATTCATGAACATATTTCTCTTTCCTTCAAACATTTATTTATCCAACAAATATTTGTTGAGCACTCACTTTTCCACCAATAGGGCAAGGACTTCACTCCATTTATCCCCATAGTTGAAGAAGTGTGTTTTGACCTTTGAAATTTGGCGCAGGCAGTGCAGTCAGCCTGACGCCCCTTTGCTAAGGTGATCTGTGGTGGCTCTGTACATGGAAGCCACATGCCTCCCATGCCTGAATCCACATCTTTGGATGCTCAGGGTGGACATGTAGGCAGGCTGTGGAGGCAGAAATCACTTGCTCGATCTGGGACTCACCTCTTACTCTGTAGATGGAGAAGCTTTGATCTTTGCATTTGTGCCTCTGACTTCACCGCACATTGTAAAATACATCCGCAGGAGCCCTTCTTCCTCTTCCATGCAAAGCTTCCATTTCCTCTGTCTCAGCTGGTAAAACTACATGAACTAAGCAGGGCGTGGTGGTGCACACCTTTAGTCCCAGCAGAGGCAGGCAGATCTTTGTGAGTTCAAGGCCAGCCTCGTCTACATAGTGAGTTCCAGGCCTGCTGGGGCTACAGGGAGACCCTGTCTCAAAAGACTTGAAAAAAACAAAATAAAACCAAAAAGCTACATGAACTTAAGAAGGCCAGAGGCATGAGAAATAACAGCTTAGTGGGTGCCCAGCACACTGAGGGCTCTACCTGCTTTACCACTTTTAATCTCGTCTTTACAATTTTTTCTTTGAAAGGTGAGAGCTTTCATTCTGTTTTACAGATGAAAAGACTGAAGCTCAGAGTTGAAGCTGTTTGCTCAAGGTAACTGGTCTGTAAAGCTGAAGAGACTGGAATCTAAATCCAGCCCTGTCTCCAGATTACAAACTCCTATCTACGTTGGTGACAGGTAACAGAACAAGCATATTGGCAGAGATGCCAGGAAAGAGGTGTGGGTGAAATGGGCGCTCTCTCTCTCTCTCTCTCTCTCTCTCTCTCCCCTCTCCTCCCTCTCACTCTCGCGTTCTCTCTCTCTCTCTCTCTCTCTCTCTCTCTCTCTCTCTCCCCCCTCCTCCCTCTCACTCTCGCACTCTCTCTCTGGAAATTGGTGGTCACAGATCTGATGCTTTGCAACGGTCTTAGACCGAGCATTTTCTGCTAGATCAGAAACTGGATAAGGGCTAGGGGGTGTAGCTCAGTGGTTGAGCATGCTTTCAGCATGCCTGAGGCCTGGGACTCAATCCCCTACATCAAAACAAACAGACATCTTGACATCTGACTATTCCTGATGTAATCACAAGATAATTATCCACAGGACCAGGGGCTGGAAACTAGACAGAACTCACTCAACCAGCAAGGCCTGAGGTGCCTGTGGAATGTTAATCACATTACTAGCAAAAAAGGAGTGGCAGGTAAGTTTGGGGACTGCTGAGTGAATTTTGGAGTTGTGGATTCCTGTGCCTTCGGAGAGGGAGGTACTGTGCTGTGCATAGCAGGGCTAGCCTCTGGCCTGTGCCAGCCTCTGCCCCTGCCAGGGACCACCACTTGGGATGTGTTCTAAGGACCTCAGTTTGGCTTTTGGTCTTGCTTTCCCTCTTTTCTGTTTAGTTACCAAGTCTCCAATACTTGGACGAGTGCCTACTAGACTGTGCTGGGCCACTGCTACTTCTGGACTAGCCGAGGAGGAAAGGATCAGCTGCACAAATCCATACCACGTGTCAGAAAAGACGTGGAGATATGACAAGATGACACTGGACTGTTGGTTGCTCAACAGCGATGTCTCTGTAAAAATCGAAGTATGCAGGAGTCATAAACCTTCCCCAGCTGCTCGTGTTTTATATATTAGTTTGAATAATCCTTTCTGTTATGTGGTTCAAAACACTGAGAAAGACCTTAGAACCTTTACACACGCTTACTTGGTGGTGACACACAAGCACACATTTCTGAGCCTGGATGTGGAACTGTGGCTCTGGGCTCTGGTAAAATAAACATGAGAATGTGTGGAATTTATTTGTAGTTTGCAGGAAGTAAGGTGTTATTGTTAGAGTAGTTTCCTGCCATAAAAGATTCTTTAATTTGGTTTTAAAATAGCAACTTTAGATGTTGTTTTTGACTCTGAAATCTATAGGAAATCCAAAATGATATGGTTTCTTTAAAATTTTTTGGTATAAGAATTTTCCATATTTTTCATAGATAAGTTGTTAGATGTTTCTAATTTCCTGATGGTACACATGTAATGATGCATGAATGTACCACATTTACATGTGTAGGTGGTTCTACATTAAAAATAAGGAACTTTATTTCAGTGATGAGTTAGATGCAAAGCCCCCCCTTCTGGAGTTGGGGGTGTCGCTCTGTGTTAGAGTGCTTGTCTAACACACCAGAGGCCCAGTTTAATCTTCAGCACAAATAGAGCAAAGAAAACAGTAATAAACACTACAGCCCCCAATCAGGGAGAAAACAGCAAACAGCAAACAAACAAACACAAAGCAAGGCCAAGGCAAGCCTTCAGGAGGTGTGAGGTGCGATTCTTGTGGGAAGGAAAAAAGGATTGATGCTTAAGATGGTGGGGGTTGGGGCACCCTCAAATAGAAAGGCTGTGCTCACCTTAGCCGCCATCATGAAGTGATAATAGTCTCAGGAGTCAAGCCCAGGCCTACTTTCCTCTTAAAAATTAAAATAATAACTTTGGCACAGTACTGACAGCATAAAATTCCCCAGTTAGCTGTTTACACATGCACAACTCGTGGGCATTCAGCACACTGACAATGGTGTACAGCCATCAGCATTATGGATTCCAGAATGTTCTTGTCATTCCAAAAGGAGGCCCATACCTATTAAACAATTGCTTTTTATTTTCTCCTCCTTTGGACTCTCTATCTTGAAGAATTTGTCAAGTCTGGAAATTTCACGTGTGATCTTTTGTGTCAGGCTCCTTTGGTTTACAGTATAATGAGAGTAATGCTTTAAAGGTTCAGTGATGTTATAAAACATCAGCACCTTATTCCTTTTTATAGCTGAGTAATATTCCTTTATATGGGTATAGCATGTTTTGTTTAACCTTTCATTCATTGATGATTGTTTCTGCCTTTTGTCTATTGCAAATAAAACTACTATCAACACGTATATGCATGTTTTTACTTGAATATCTGTTTTTAATTTTTTGGAATATTTACCTAGGGATTGCTGGCTTGTGTGGAAATTCTGTTTGAATAATTGAAGAACTATAAAACTGGTGTCTGCCCATCTGTCTTATCTATTTTGATACAGGGTCTCATGTAGCCCAGGCTGGCCACCAATTTATGCAGCCAAGGGTGACCTTGAACTTCTGTGTGCTGCCATGCTGATTTAATAAGGTGCTGGAGACTGAGCCCAGGGCTTTGTGTGTGCCAGGCAAGCACTCCGGCAACTGAGCTACATCTCCAACCTCTTTAATTTCTTTGAGACAGGTCTCACTATGTAGCTCAGACTGGCCTCAAACTCAGGATCCTCCTCCCTCAACCTCCCAGTTACTGAAATCACAGGTATGTATGCTGCCTTACCTGGCCTTCTGTTAGGCTTTAAATGGCCTTCTAAAAATAAAACAGTGCAATAGTAGAGTACCCGCTTCACATGTATAAGGTCCTGGGTTCAATCTCTAGCACAACATAAATAAATAAAATAGAAATGAGAAGTAACCACACAATTGATATTCTAGTATTAATTACGAATTGTGCTAAGGATGGCAATATCCTCAGATGACTATTGTTCCTTGAGGCCAGAACCCTTTACAAAAAGAGCAAGCAGTCACAGACCACTCATATTTATTTGCTTTTGGTACTGTTGTTTTTTCCTGAAACATTTAACCTTCCTTCTGCCCAGTTCAATGCCTCTGACGATGACACCTGTGAAGACATCCCCCCATCACTGGCTGCTTTGCTTTGTACCTTTCTTGGTTAAATGTAGGTAACCAAAGGACTATTCACGTTCTTTGTAGGTTTTCTTTTGCTTACATGTCATGGTTCCCCAGCACAGGGTAAAAGACAAACAAAATGATAGCAGATAATACTGATAAGTGTCTCAGCATCACTGGCTGGCGGCTCCTTGTTCTGCTAAAAGTGGACGGACTGTGTCACCCACCCTGTGACAGGCCCTGAGGGTGAACTCCACAGGGACAACAGACTGACAACCAAAGCTTTTCCCAATGCTCAGACTCACCACAGCATTGAATGTTCCTGTCACCAGGATACAGAGGATTCCTCACCCCCATTAAGCATCTCTCTAGAGGACATCACTGGATGTCCCATGATTCATTTCCAACACTTAGCTGCCTGGAGTCAGGTCCCATAGTGTGAGGGCTCAGTCCGACTCCTGATGCCAACTACAAGTTAGGTTGTCACTATAGTTTGCCCCCAAACCCTCTGTTCCTTTGGTTTGCTGTAGTGGCTCATGGATTCACTGGGATTTACCAGCTTGTTGATGAAGAGTGTGTACAAAGAATGTCCCATGCCATAGACTCAGCATGTGGGACTGTTACCCACATTGGGTAAACTTGGGGATTTATAACCTTGGGAAGCCAATTAAAACAGCCAAATTAAAAGTAAGAAGGAGAAAAAAGATTTATTTGATGTGGCCACATTGGGAAGAGGGCTGAAGAAATCCAGTGAACCCCCCTCCAGTCCATCTTCAGAGTCCTGAAATAAAGACAAGACATGCAGGGGCTGGACAGATGGCTCAATGGTTAAGAGCAGTGACTGCTCTTGCAGAGGACCCAGGTTCGAGTCCCAGCACCCACATGGCAGCTACGAACCGTCCTTAACTCCAGTTCCAGGGGAATCTGAAGCACTCTTCTGACCTTCGTGGCATTGCACGACACAGGTGCACTCACATACATTCAGGCGATACACTCATACACATAAAATAAAATTTAAAAAAAGACAAGACATACATAGATGGGGATTGGGTATGGTGCACGCTTTTAATCCCAGCACTTGGGAGGGAGGCAGAGAGGTTGGCTGATCTTTGTAAATTTGAGGCCAACCTGGTCTACATAATGAGTCCCAGGCCAGCTGGGGTTATAGGGAGACCCTGTCCAAAAAATGTATAGGGGGCTGGTGAGATGGCTCAGCCACAAAAGACACCTGCTGTCAAGGGTGATGACTTGAGTTTGATCCCTGGCACACACATGAATGGGAGGAGAGAACTGATCCTTGCAAGCTGTCTTCTGACCCCTACATGTACACTGTGGCACACACACAGATGCACACACAAAATAAGAATATATAGCAGGCTGGAGAGATAGCTCAGTGGTTAAGAGCACTGGCTCTTCTTGCAGAGGACCTGGGTTTGGTTCCCAGCACCCAACATGGCAGCTCACAACCACCTATAACTCCAGTTCCAGGGGATCTGACACTCTCTTTGACCTCTACAGGCACTGCCCAACAGAAGTATACTTAACATATACACTCACAAAACACTCATACATTAAAAGAAAAAAACCAAAAAAAAAAAAAACCACCCCAAAATATAGAGAGGCCCCAGGGATATATGTGCACATCTAGGCAGTCCTGGCCAAGGTGTGGTCCCACCCATTACTACCTAGGCTCCAGTTCCCCCTCTGGTTGGCACCAGGCTTCAGCCTTTTTCTCCTAGAGTCCTTGACATTCATTGTTTTAAGTCTGACAGACTGAGGGATACAAGTGTTTCTTTAAAAGATATTCACTGATGCCAGGCCTGTTACAGGAAGGGCCTGGAGCCTCCAAGCGGTCCTGGAGTCAGCTGCCCTCCAGGACATCCTGTACCCAACACCCCAGTGCTGCAGGCCCTCTTAATGTTTTTGAGGAGGCTTCCTTAAGGAGCCATACCGAATTGTATTGTTAGCTATTAGTGATTAACTCAGCCTTCAGCCCTTCTCCCCTGTGAGGGTAGTAGGACTCACAGTTTCCTTGGTAATTATCGCCCTAAATTTAGGAGCCTATCAAAGAGCCAATCCCAACCCCAGTTACTAGTCATCTCAATATCATACAAAGACACTTTGAAGATTCCTAGGGAAGAGGACAAAATACAGTCTTATAAACCACAGAACCACAGTATCCCAAGGGGTCTAAGCTTCTTGTGTATGAGGAGGCCCCCTCTCCCAATCCTATGCACTGGTGCAGCCTCCCAGAGCTTCCCAAGGGTTTGGGAAATAGTTTAGCAAGTTTTCTTAATGAGAGATCAGTACACACAGGCATCTATCTGCCAGTATGCACAGAGGACCTGGACCATCCATGATGCAAGTGTTCTAGAAGCCCCACCTCTTCCATGGGTCTGATCGTCTGGCTATTAGAGTTGCTGGAACATGGGGAGGTCTTGAAGTCTGGGGGCTCAGGTTAAGGAATCAGTGCCTTGGGAGATGTTAGGGTAGTGACCATTTTCCAGTTAATATAGAATGATTTAATTTTATTTATTGCTTTGGAAAGCAGGCCTTACTTTGTAGTTCAGATTGGGCCTTGACCTTGTGATCCTGTCTCAACCTTCTGTGAGTTAGGTTTATAGCTGTGCGCTACTTTATACTTACTGCCTTATTTATTTACTTATTTTGAGACAGGTCTTTTGTAACCCAGGCTGACCTCAAACTCACTAGGTATCAAAGGGTGGCCTTGAACACCTGATCCTCTCCCCTACCTCCTGAGTACTGAGATTATAGCAGTATGCTACTTTCTTTTTCTTTTTTAAAAAAGATTTTATTTATTTATTTGATGTGTATGTGTGTGCCTGAATGTATGTCGGGTATCTGTGTGTGCCACATGCATGTAGTACCCTTGAAGGGCAGAAGAGGGTGTCACAACCGCTGGAACTGGAGTTAGGGATAGTTGTTAGCTGCCATGTGGGTGCTGGGATTTGAACCTGCGTCCTCTGCAAGAGCAGCCAGTGGTCTTAACCACTGAGCCATCTCTCTAGCCCTTTACTGTATATTTACTCTATATATTTTGTCCTTATTCTGTTTTCTGAGACAGAGTCACGCTGACATGGAACTCACTATGCATGTAGCCCTGGGGCTCCGGTTAAGCTTTGACTGCTGATATTAAAATTCTACCATCAGGTCCTGTTTCTGTTTTATTCTTTCAGGGTTTGTCCCCTCCTTTCTTAGAAGCTGTGGAGGAAACACGACCTAGCTGAGGGGACAAGCTTTCTTTAAGATTGCTGGTGGAAGCTGGGGACAAACCAGCCATCATCTCTTGAGCTGCTCTAGTTATTTACCTTAGAACTCAGGAAAAGCCTGTTGGAGAACCAGTGCAGCAGGGAGGCGAAGTATAGTCAAGAAATAGCGACCTTAGGAATGCTCACTGATAGGCATCCCTTAAACCCGAGGACAGTCCCTCCTCTTCTGCTGGGAATGATTTAGTGCCCTCTGTTGTTGAATTTCAATTGATTTCTGTTGCTAGTTAGTGAGGATGAGGTTGCATCTCTCAAGACACAAGTCATACATTAAGTCCCCGGGCCCATTCTTGGAGACAAGGTCTTGCCATGAAGACTGGCTGACCTTAGAGGAGCGGTCATCCGCATGCCTTGGCCTCTGGAGTTCTGGGATCAAGGTGTGTGCCAACATGTGTTCCTATTCTCACCTGTCTTTTGACTTTGGCTCTTTAGTGTTTATTTTAATTTTTATTTTTCGTTCTTCTGAGACAGGGTCTTGTGAGCCCAAACTGGTCTCAAACTCCTTAGGTAGTGAAAGATGACCTTGAACTCCTGATTTTCCTGCCTTGACCTCCCAAGTGCTGGTATTACAGGGATAATACCGAGTGCTACCATACCAGTTTATACAATGCTAGGGATAGAACCAAAGGTTTTGTGCATACTAGACAAGTACTCTACTAACTGAGCTACATTCCCAGCCCTTCCTCTGCCTCTTTGTACTAGTCTAAGCCTGCTGGAGGTGAGCTGTGGGCTTCAGAAGGGTAGAGAACAGAATACACAGTATTAATTTTGCAGCGTGGATGATGAGGTACTGAGATGGAGTTGCCCTTTTGTGCGATGAGGCAGGTAGAAAAAGAAAAGTCTGGTAAGAGATGGGCAAGATGCCGAGCCCAAGGTTGCTGTAACACTGCTAAGGAAGGCCAGGAAGAAGAAGAAAAAAGAATTCAGGCCAGAGTAGATAGGAACAT